CGCTGTAAAAGACTTATTGCCAGTTATCGCAAACGCTTGATTGCAGTTGTTGCTGCTAAGGGTGGCCCAACCAGTTATTAGGTTAAGGGGGCAATCGCTTTTTCACGCAGGGCCATGTAGGTTTGGATTTTTTTTTCCCTTAATAATACAAACCTTCATTTAAAAACTGCATTTTGTGTTTACTTGTGTTATCTTTGTCTAATATTTCAATTTGTTTGGTGATCTGAAACATTTCAGTGTGACAAACATGCAAAAAAATAAGAAATCAGGAAGGGGGCAAACACTTTTTCACACCACTGTATAAACCAGATGGCACCTTCTTGAGACCCGAAGGAGCCCAACTGTTTCTTCTACTCTTCTGTCACCCGCTGTGGAGTCTGATTAGGGGGTGTAAAGAACAGTCAGTAACAGAATGAGGGTCGGTGGGTGGGTTCCCACAGAGCTGGAAATACAAGCATATGTGCGCTCTAGCGTGTTCGTGCTACTGTACTGAGCGTGTGACAGTGTTACAGTACTGCGTGTGAGCGTGTTCTTGCTAGGCTGAGTGGTGCTGGGTGGTTTCACACTCGCGCTGAGAGCCGAGGGAGGGTGTGGCGCGTGTGAGAGAGTGCTGACACTTGCTCTGTACATTCCGGGGTGACGAGAGCCGCTGCCCCCCTCCCCTTTGTGATTTCTCCCAGATTCATCAAGTCGAACCCGCCTTGTTGTTCAAGCTCTTTGTTCATCAGTTCAGACTGGTGTCTGATTGAGTGTTGTGTACTGGTGCTGGGATAGTTCCATTTTGTGTCAGAGCAGGTTGTGTATAATAACCCAATACTACAAGTAATAACAACAGTGACTATTCACATCACATAACTACTTTTAGGATATTAATAGTAAGATTTAACCAAGCAAAATATTTATTCAGGTGATTTATACCAGAAAGCTGGCTTTTCTTTCTTGATCTAATAAAATGATGTTAGATAGGATCTCATAATAACCTATTATGAGAAAGACAAACAGCTACTCATTTAAAAATTATTTCTATCATCCTTTCATTTTATGTGCTGATCTGGGCTTTCTCCTCTGACACCCACTCCACAGTTTGCCAGATTGTGCCTGTATGGAGCTCTGGATGTCTTTCAGAAAGTGTAATTTTAAAGTCACTAAATGCTGAGTGTCGAAAAACTCCAAGGAATGGTTCTTGCATGATGGTTGAAGTATCTGTACTGTCTTTGCGACAGAGTGTCTTTATATTTCATGGTTCCCACTACAGTGCCTACTCAATGTCCACTTCAGGACTGTGGACTGTTAGATCATGGGTTCTGTTGTGTGTGTGTGTGTGGACAAGATTGTTAGATCATGGGTTCTGTTGTCTCTGTGTGGACTGATAGATCATGAGTTCTGTTGTGTGTGTGTGAACAAGACTGTTAGATCATGGGTTCTGTTGTCTGTGTGTGGACTGATAGATCATGAGTTCTGTTGTGTGTGTGTGTG